TAATACCAACGGCCCGCTACCATGCTCTACCAAAAATAGTGCTTTGTTGTGTATCTGACGGACGAAAGCTAAACCAGTTCCACACCACTGAAGTTGCAGAATTTTTACAAACCCATTCTGGTTCATCCGTTTCATTTAACGATCCGCTTTCGCTCTTCTCGTTCTGAGTTGCAGCCATGTGCGTATGTAAACATAGGCACTGCGCATGTGCGTTTTACCCATATTCTATCTCGATGTTTCATTTTCCTATCGTCGCCCAAAATTACACCGGTATTACCGTGAACGGTATGATATGGCCCAGCCCTAGTCTCTTGCACTGCCCACAGTGAACTGCAAACAGAAAAACCCATTAACCACTATATTTCTAGTTTGAATGTGTGGTTAATGAGAAGTGCAGTGTGCAGTGATTGTTTATAAGCATTAGTGTTACATTTCTTTCAGGCTTGATGTAGCAATCACTGATTTTCAACAAAAATCTCCGAAAATAAAAATGCTGAAAGTTGACAAATTATTTAAATGACATGCAGTTCCCAAATAGCCCCGCATCCAAACGATTAGAATGTCCTTGAGCTGTCTCTCAAAATAAAAATTTTGCTCTCATTGATTGAGCATGTGGAATTTAGAGTGCCTTTAACACATACATATATATGTGCAAGATACCAGTAAATTGCATTACTAATTTTGTCCTCTAAATCAAAACGTTGTTACCCAGTAATCAGCATCCATCTCGAAATCTCGAAATAAAGGCAGATAGACATTCAAGCTTAGCTCATGTCAGGTTTTGTTTTTGTTCATATACATAACTGCTTATATACTGTACATGTTTTATGGGAAAATCCAATAACTGAACCTCATTTCAAGCTTGTTATCAGAATTTGAGCATAATGGGAGAAAAAGGAAATTAACGAGACTTGGCTGTTTTCCATTGACCATCGTCTCCCTTGTTTTGCTTGAATGAGTCTGCATTCAGATTTATTTCAGCTCTGATAAACACCACTCAGTGAGAAACATTTAAAAAATATTCAAAAACAAAGTGATTATAAATAAAAAAAACTAAATTTATGCACTATTCTTCCTCAACTAACTTTGTGCATGATGATTCCCTCAGAGTTTCCAGCCATGCTATAGCTGACCTTGACTCCTGACCTCATTGCATATCTTCATGGAGGTCAGGTCATAAAGACTCATTGTTATTCATCAGTCCGTTCTTCTCTGACTTCTTAATTATTCTCAGTCCTTGACAGTCTGTCCAACGTTAAGGCATAGGATGTTCTTGTGATAATATTGGACGATCACAGTGAGAACTCTCAAACTGAATCAGCTTTTTAAATTTTATTATTTATGATAAAGTTTTAAAAGTAAAATTATTTTTCGGGCAACTGTGCATGCTGTTGTAGGCCAAGTACCACTTTGTACTAAAAAGACCACAATTTTTTTTCACAAGTCCTTGATAATTAGAAATAGCCATTAATTGGCCACCCTGGGTCCCTAAGAAAAGCAAAAAATAATGAGATATGGATTTATGCCTGTAAAAACAGTATTTTCCAAAAAGGCAGGATATGTTTAGGCTTACATCCTGCTGTGGCACAAGAAAAGATCAGGTAGGACATTACAGTCCATTAGATGCTGCTCTGGCAGTAATGAAATAGCTTGTCAACCCTGCCATTTATTCCATCATAACATGAAAGTAATTATTAGCAGCATTCACCATTTCTAGCTAAATACCAACTAAAGCTAGATGGTATGAGTTTGACACCTTGTGTATGTATAGGTGTTGTTTTTATCAGTGTGTTGGTGTTTATGCATGTAAATAACTGTGTATGTGTTAAAATTTTAAACAGGGGCATGCTTTAGCTGTAGATCATTGCTACATGTGGGTTTTTTGATTGCTTAATAATATATTGCGCAATTCATTTAGGTTTTTCAGGTGGAAAAAAATCACACTGATTCTCAAAAACACACAAAAACTGTATGTATCAAATATGACAAACTTGGCGTTAGGGGGTTAAATATGTGAATGCAGAAACGCGTTTGCTGAGGATGCATACATACATCATCACTGACAGCCTTATCACGATGGACAAGTGTTCTTAAGTGCTACTATCTGTGAAGGGAGGCAGCTGGAAGATTTGTGAAGAACGTTGTGTGGCAGTGTAACTCTTTCAGAGTAATGCTGCTGTTCAGTAATGTAAGCCGTGGACTAGAGACATCATCAGGGATTGTGTTTGTGGGATTCCTGTCCCATAACACATTTACAACATGCATAGCGTGTTTTAGTTAGTGTAGATTTGTATCTCACTTTTTACAAATCGTCCTCAGTCTTTCCAAAGGACACTTAAAAGAACAATATTAAGTAGATTATACTCAGATTTTGAACTTTGATTTGCCAACAGAGATGTTGTTTGAGTTTCAATATTTCAATTTCACACAATAGTGTAGGGTGCATAGATGCATATATCTTGACACTAGGTGAAAACGGCACTTTTCAGCTACCGCACTTGTGACATGCATGCATGCTTTGGAGTTCACTGGGAAGGGCAGAGGATGCTGTGTGTTGATTTAAGCTGTGTGGCTGCTGAGAGTGGCGTAGTGAATCGCTGGGCGTTGTGTTGTGGCATGTCAAGCAAGGGGGTGCAATGTTGTGGAATAATGCTATGCTTAATACATCTCTCTCACTGGTCTCTCTGACTGTCGTATGCCTAGTTTTCTTTTTCTATTGCTTTCTTTCTCTGCAACCGACTCCACTGGAGAACTGAGTGTTGCTGTGGTTACTCTGTTATATGTTACTGATGCACATGAAAGCACAGCGCTCTAAGCACAATAGAACTCAATAGAATGTATTAATAAGATTTACATTTTATTTTAAAATGCAATCATTCTTAATATATCTTTAAATGCACGGTCGTTCGTGTATAATTTGACTTTTATGATCTCTGCTTCTGACTCAGGTATTTAATCCTATGACCTGAAGTCTTTTTTTCACCTTACTTAAATAACTCAAAGTAAATGTTAGCTGGAGAATTATTGAGCAGTAAGTTAAGTGAACTTCTGAATTTCATCACACATTTTTTTATTATCACAAGGGGAACATAAATATCAGTATGGCCACTGACCTTTCAGTGTGCACGCCCTTCTATGACCTACTTCTGCAAAGCATGTTGCTTTGATTGCAGCATTTTGTTTCCAAATATTACTGAAATAAAAGTAAACTTTTTAGAGTCTAACTCAAAGATTTACACCAGAATTGAGAGGACAGTAGGTCATAATGTCTACTGAAGCATCCAGCCGTTGAGTCCAAGCCAAAACTGACCTTTTGAATGGTCGCCACGCTTGAGAACCAGCTGTCTTGCCAGCATCCCTTCCTGAGGTGCTGCTGGGGTAGCAGCTGGCCAGATTGTATTTAAAAGTCCAGCTGGTTTCAAAAAGTAACAAAGTAGCACATGTTTACATTTCTCTTCTTCACGAACCTTTATTTAAGATGCCTACCTGTATGTTTGTATTAAAGATGGAGTTTCTGATTGGCTGTTGAATCCCAGGCCCCTCCAAATTCTCTGAAGTGTTCCAGTATTGCTCCATTATATTTTCACATTGTATCTATTAGAGTACAGGGATATAGGCTGCTGTGCTTCAAATTGCTTTAACTACAGCATTACAATGAGTCTTTGCTATTTAGGACAATAACAGTTTGTGGATAACCATTAAAATCGGCCACTTATCCATTCTTGTTCTTTTGTGCATACAAACTCATCACCGTGGAATATGAAATAGTATAAATAGAAGACAGCAAGCCCCGAAAACCAGCCTAATCGTGTAGATGAAGTTAGATGGAAGCGTCTATAGCTATCAGCTAGTCTGTCTGATTCTGTATTGATCACAAAGAAGGTGGCTCAATACTCGTCTCTAAGTTTCTTTTTTGCTCTTCTGTTCTGTTTTTACCTCTGTTCAGCCTCCCATTAATCAGCCATCCATTGACATTCATCAGGAGTATAGAAAAAAAGTCTTGCCTGTAGCTTGTACATGTGCAAATGTTTGTGTGTGGGTGTGTTTGTGTGTACATGAACTTTATTTTAGGTTTTTATCAATCAATTCACAACAACTGTCATCTCACAGCACTTCACATCGCAATACCTTCCAATATAAATCCAACAATTTCCTTTGAGCAAGCAATAACAGTGAGTAGAGGCAGGGGGAAGTGGCCCTCTGCCTTCACAAGCAAACACAAAAACTGAAATTAAATATAGCAACAATTATTATTTCATTGTATGTCTACCTAAAACACCACCTGGAAATAAACAGTGAACCAATCAATGCAGAACTCAAAGTGTGACTTAAGGATAAGTTTTAAAAAGTAGATTATTTCAGTATACGGTAAGCTTCAGTACACATGAGATCAAACCATAACACACAAATAAATCCAACAAGAAATAGCAAACGCTAGGTTCCAGACAAACAAGACTATGATGAAAAATAAAAGAAGAAACAAAGACAATTTGACATCAACACACAAGCTGTCTAGAGTATTTTTTTTTGTTCTCCTACCAAAATTTACCAAAAAAAAGAGAAAAAGCTGATGATTCGCTTCTCAGCCCATAAACTTTGTCCACCAAAACTCTTTCTGTTCTAATTTCCTCCCTCTATGTGTTGCATTTTTAAAAGTTGGTAAAACGTGAGCTTCTTCTCAAAAGGAACAGAAACAGAACTGACACTGGTATCATTTTGGCTTAAGAGAGGTAAAACATAGGAACGCAGACTAAATACACTAAGAGGGTAGGACAATGGGACACATCTTTAATAAAGAGATTCTCTGTTCAGTGCAAATGAACGGTGAGTCTAAGGTTGAGCTAAAGTGACCTGTGGCGCTTCTCATCTCATGTTTTTTTTTCTTGTCATCACTCATCACAGTGATATGGAGGATTTATTGAAAAAGCCATTTAAGAATCTACTCTTAACTAAAACTTTACTTTTTATTCGTCGTGGTAACCACATCCTTTCTCTTGCAGTTCTTCAGATGAGCAATTTCGCTGGAACTCTCAAGGTAATTCATTATTACGTTATTTTTTCCTTATTTCTTCTCATTTTATGCTTCTTTTCTTAAATTATGTCACCCTCATTTACTGTTTTAATCTCTTTTGATTATTTTAAATGTACAGCACTTTGGTCAGCAGTTGTTGTTTTAAATGTGCTATATAATTAAATGTGACTTTGACTTTAACGTCTCAGACATGCATGAAACTTGTTGTGTGTTAGTTTTTAGAGGAATCATGTATGCCATAGTCAAAATCATTGAGATTTGGTAGTTGTGATAGCTAAATAGGTTATTGCAGGATCCCGACGATCTGTGAAGTCACACCTGCAAACATGTATCACCTTTTTAACCCACAGCTAGCCCGGGAGAACAGTGTTACCCCATATGTTTAAAAAACATAAATAAATAAAATCAAACACTTTCACTACACACAACATACATATTCCCAAATGCACTTACACATACTTACCAGTGCATCAAATTCACTTTTATAACAGCAACTTCATTTCCAGCTAGGCAGCTCCCAGGGCAGACTTATCAAGGCCCTTTACCAGCATATAATCAAAATGTCCCACGGCTCATAACCAAGTCACAATGCGTAAGGCTTTACACACTGTGAGAGGAAAGGATTGGGGTTACTGCCCAGAAAGATCTCATCTCTCTGCCTCATACTCTCTTTCCCGTACCTCTCTCTTTCTCACAGTCTTTGCGCCTGTATGTGCTCCTCATCATTTTTCTCTCCCACAGCTGATGGACAGAAAGATATTGAGGATGAGTTGACAACAGGTCTGGAGTTGGTGGATTCCTGCATTCGCTCCCTTCAGGAATCAGGAATACTAGATAGTGGAGAACGTAAGTGTCACTATTATCGTGTGTGTATGTGTGCATGTGTGTGAGGGGGAAATAGTTTCAAATATTTGGTGTCTGTTTAAATTTTACTTATTTTAGTCTATTTTATGCTATAGTCAAGAGTCAACTCTAGCAGAAATGCCACTCAAACAAAATATTTCAGTCTAAGAGTATAAAAAAATAGCATTTCAGGTTCAATTTTTCATATTACCCACATATTACACACATATTTATTTTTAAAAATTTGAACAGGCACTTCAAGCCACAAAACCAAAATTCATGTTACTGTTTCCAAACAACACATTTAATTGGTTTGTACAGTGCTTAAAAAGTGGCGATAGTCTTCACAGAGTGCAGCAGTAGTTAGTTTAAATATGTGAGTATAATGGTAGCCAATGCTTGTTAACTGTTGTTTATTAAAGGAGGAAAATTATCCCTCACCCATTGGATAAGTGGAATAATTGCCACAAATCCTATTGTTAAGATTTAATTTTTGCTATGATTACAGCTCTGACCTCTGCTCACAGCAAACAGCTTGAGCTTTATTCCAGTTTTTTGAGATCCTCATTGATTATTTGCTCTAAAGCAAATCGTTTGAAGTCAATTTAAGGAACACACGCAGCATATTGCTCTCTTAATCTTTACAAGGAACTGTCCCAAATGCCTGTGGACCTTGGATTCTGATAAAGAAATTCAAACAATGATTGAGAGGCAGCCCGTGTATAAGGTCATGCTAAATGTGCTTGGCATTTTCTTTGCAGGTCATTGGTTTTGGAACACTGCATTCCCATTTCACTTATTGCCTGCTGACCTTTTTGATAGTTGATATTGTAGTAATGGATGGCATTTTAGAACTCACACTGTGAGGGGTGATACACAGTGAATTTCTGTGTGTCAGCTTACATGTTACATCTTGCAGTGCATGTGGTTTCTGGGACTGATAGAGTGGGCTAGGTAGTGTGGAACAACGATGTAATGTTTTGCACACACACACGCATCCACACAAAGAGGCATGTCTGACCAAAAGTTGGACATGATAAGCTATTTTTGGTATATTTACTATAATTGCTGGTTTGCTTTAATATGATATGGATTATCTGTTTAAGCATATGCCGAACAGCTACAAGACGTGCCAGATCATTAGATCCTTACTGTTTTTGTACCGCCCAAGTCCCTGTCCAAATAGATGGCTCTCTCATTGTGAGCACTCTTGTTATGGGTGTCCCACACCCAGCTGTTTTTCCCATTTTGCAAATGGGCTTCTACCACAAGCTTAACAACGTGGCTGTGGATATCTTTCAATAGGTGTGTGTGATTCTTTCCCAAAAAAGAGTGCTGCAAATAGCTAAGCAGTAAATACATACTGTAGTGAAATGTCGCTGTCTTCACCAGAAGGTTCTACTAAACAGGCTTTTTGTCGGTGAACATAAGTGTCAGCACAGAGCAACACAACTCATAAGTAACTGTACACAGACGCACTAATTCTTTTTTAAAAAAAAAAGTAATGTTCAGGTTTTTATTGCGATTTTAAATCCAGCATTCCTAAAATCTTTAATGACCCTTTTGTGTGTATGTCAGGTGTGCATGAGTGAGTATTTCATAGACTGCAGTAAGAATACGATGCTCATAATTTGACTGAGCTTTTGAAATATTTATATCAGAAGAGTCGAACTTACATTTCCATATCAAAACAGAGACGAGAGTCAATACTGACACAAAAGAATTTAGAACCCTACAACCAGTGTTTTTCATTTTACCCACTGTTACTCACACATGCATGCGCTACTATACACTCACTCGTATTAGGCATTTGCACATTTAATGTCACATGTGTGCAAGCATACCACGCCCTTAATAAACCCTTATTAGCTACTTCATAATCAGTCAACTTTGCTATTTTCTGACCATCCAGCAAAAACAAATTTCGCAACACATGTTTGAACATAGAAACAACCATATGCATTTTTTTGTCACGTAACACACACGATGTAACAAACACCAAGGCTGAGGGATGATGAGTTTGGGAGCTCCCACTCAAACTGCGTAACACAAAGTGCTGTTTAATAATTCATAAAAAGCGAGGGATGAATCAAGATGAGAAAAGGCAAGTCTTTTGTGAAGGCGAGAAGCAGAGGAGTTGATCTTGGTTCACAGCACAGAGGCTCACAGGGAGGGAAGGATTCAGGGAGAAGAGAGCGAGCAAGAGAGATGGAGTGAGCAAGCAAATAGATATAGGAGAAGAATAATAACGGGCCATTGTTCTTTAAAGTGAGAAAAGACACTAACGAGTCAGTAAGCTCAGGGGAAAACACTTATTGTAGGCTTTATTAGGACATATCCATGATGGTTCAACTTTTGAAATTGGGAGAGAGAAACAGAAAGAAATCCCCACATTCTTTAACCCTGTTCATCAGAATCTTTACTTACTTCTATATTTTGATGGGATGATTTGATAATATGTATATGCTGGTTCAATGGGGCTGTTTTGTTTTTTAAAAAAAAAGATTGGATATGTTTATATGCACTAAGATACAGTATTAGTGTGCATACTGGATATTTATTTGCATTAAAAAATTGTTAAATATTACCTCTACCAGCTCGGGCACAGATGCAGATCAACTAAGCAGCAACTAAGCAATGTCTGGCATCTCTAACCTACAGTGGCAACATACATGTTATGAATTATTTATTTGCCATATCATGAAAATGTGAGGAACCTAATTACTTCTTAATAGAGCACACGTAAACACATATATGGAAAACCTACATTACTACGCACTCACCGCCGACTGGCTTGTGGCTTGTAACCACTGCTTTTGGTTCACCACATCATTTCATAGACATTTAAGAAGATAGTCCATCTAAAAAACTGCCTTATGATGTTCTTAGCTTGGATCAATATCAGCTTTATGTGCACAGCATCGGAATCAGAGAGAAGGGATTATTATTTGATGACACAGCAGCGACTTCATCAGGTGGTTGAAGTAGTGATGCTCTGAAGCAGACGGTGAATTTGTGTGCATGTAACAAAAGTCATTGTGGTCGACATAGTCTTTTGTTCTAACCCTTTGGAAGATGGTTTGGCATTTTAGGTGTTTGAAGCCAAATTTCATTGTTTTTCAAAGCTCAGCTAACTACTGGAAAAATAAAATAATGTCTCTAATTAATTCCAGACCAGACCATCATGGTCCGCCTTGAGTAAAGTTTTTTTTAAGCCAACAAGGTGTTCCGTCTATTACAACTTTTTTCTTTTCAGCCCTCCTCCTCCTCTTCTCATCCTCTCTATCTCCCTGCTCCTCCTCCTTCTCCTCCAGTTCTTTCTGTTCCTCTGTTTCGGTCTTCCTCTGCTAATAAATTATGTATGCTATCTCCAACTCACGGAGTGCTGCACTGCTGCACTATCTGCTCTAAATTGCTGCTTGCTCTCTCTCTCTCTCTTTTCCCTATTTCACACCCCCTCTCTTTCTCACTCTTAATCTGTCTCTCTCACGCTCTCACTTGCTCTGTCACAAACTCAACTCAACCCCCTTTCTATACAACCATACGCCACCTCTGTCTCAATTGGTAGGACCGGCTCTTCTTTCCCAGAGTTCCTTGCAGCTCAACTCCACCCCGGAGGCTTCGCTCCAGTACTCTGCCAGCTACCATAGCAACCAGACCCTCGCCCTAAGTGACAGCATCTCTGCAGCAACTCCTCAGCGCAGCGGGCAAGTTGGAGGAGCTGTGCACAGCTACAACCAGGTGGGAAATACTTCCGAACAAAGAGAATATTGAGCGTATAAGTGTTGATGAGAACAAAACCGAGAGCAATTCTGTCACTGGCTATCTGTGCAAACCACAATGTGTGTTGTGAGAAACTTTCCATTTGTCTAGGAGGCTGGTGGTCACAACATTTTAGTATGGATTTTGGCTCGGACGGTGACTAATTTGAAGTGCGTTTTCCTCAGTTTATTAGTAAAGCTGTATTAAAACCATTTGCTTATGCAAACTTGTAAGTACTTATAGTGTTGAGAGATGCTGGTCTTCGGATTTCTTGTCGCTCTGATTTTTTCTTTCAGAGACTCTGCGAACATTGCCCTTCATTTTCCTCTACTGGCTTTTTTTAGGCACTGTGTTGCATAGCGCTTATCCAGCTACATGTAACTCTGGCTCTCAGTGCTCTTAGCAAATGTGAATTTGTTTGACACCATAACTGAGTCTATTTGATCAGGGTAGAAGTGCATATTTGTACAGAATCCTATTTCATTAGCCCCACTGAAGTGCTTTAGTCCAGTTCTGCCTTTTCAAGCTGCCCATTGCATTTTGTCTCTAGTGTGAAGGTGATGATAGACATAGGCAAGTTGTTTAGAAGAAAACAGGTTATGAGATGCTCACAGACCCAAATTGGGGTACAATTAAATACACACAGAGAAATCTCTGCAAGTGTCTTGTTTATAAAGACTTAAAATAAAGCTACATGGATACAAAGACATTAACCACAGCAGTGTGCTGATAGAGAGAAAATCTATCAAATTACTTTCTAGCCTGCAGCTGCCAATTATTTTGAATTTCCATATTCTTAACATATCAGTATTAAGTATTACTGCAAACACACACACACACATGTTGTATGAAACAGAAACCCACTGATCTGCTTAATCAGTGAAGCAGCCAGCATCTGGTATAAATCTTCCATTTATGACAGATAATTATGAATACAAAATGAGATCAAATAGTTTAAATGAATCGTTTTAAACTAGATAATTATTTGACAATAGTCGTACTTTGTCGTGAATGGCTTTTGGTATGTTTCTGAGTCTTTGGGCAGAATTTTGTACTAAAGGTAAATTGGTATCTGCTTTCTCCTCTGTCAGTTTGCACGTGCATTTCTGTGGTTTGTTATTTTATGTTCATGTGTCTTTTGAAAGAAAATGATGTAGGAAGTGTTTTTTGTAAATATATTTATTCACATCCCCTGCAGTCACACCAAAGCTAGTTTCAGATAAAGCTTAGATGCCTTGCCTTAATAAATAAGAAACAGGAGGAAAAGACAGAGAGAAACACTGATAGGCTGGGATATAGATGGATGGACAGATTAGGAAAAAGGAATGTTTACTCTTTCTACAGTGTTCCTTGTCCTCTTTTCCCCTCCTCTCATCTTCCTTCCCTGTCCTCTCTGCTCACCATCTCTGTCCATGTGAGCGAGTGTGTATCTCTCTGTGTGTGTATCCTCCCCTCTGATGTTTTTGGCTTGTCAGTGTAATGGGGCTAGTGCTGTCAACAGAGCTTGCTGCTCATGAATAGCTTTATGCATGCCAGTGCTGCTAGATAGGCAGGTGCAGCTTGCATGCATGGGTAGTACATGTATGTTTTTGTTGATCTTCTTCCATTCGTGTGCGCTTGGGTATGTGTGTGTGCACGCGGGGGCTACATTCCTTTACGTGGATGCATGGTGACTATCTGAAGGAGGGAGAGAAAGTAAAAGGTCTAACATGTTGCTGCTCTTTTTGTGGGATATTTATAACCCTGAGAGGCCAGGTTTAATAATTCATGGATACATGGCACCTCAAACATCCCAATGTTTTACTGGAGGAGAGAAAGAGCAGCACTGCAAGATGACACGGAGTGAGATCGAGAAAGTGCTCTCCCTCGCAGTGTGTGTCAGGCTTTCTATCTGTTTGTTACCTCAGCCAACAATTCATCTTTTACTCATTATTTATTCACCCATTGATTTATTTACTCATTCCTACACTTTTCAGGCCTCACTTTGTGTCTTGATCATTGTAGCACATCTGTAGTGTTGAACACAGTCTATTAGCCACCATTAACAGAAGCTCTTCCCTTCGTCTCATAAGCTTTAAGTCATTCAAGATTTCATAATCTGCTAAACTAACACAAAGGACCTCTACAGTACTTTTAGTAATTCATCCTTGGAAAGCTTTAGAGGTACAAAATATTTAGATCACATACATCAACTACAGTGTTAGAATTCAATATTCTTTAATATTTACAAATAAACACAACATTTGATTCATATATTTATTTAAACCATGAAATCTTCAATTTTAGAGACATTTGTTAAGTTATTTACAAATGTTAATTATATGTTCTTTCACTCTGTGTGTCACCTGCTTACTTTCCTGCCTGCCACAATATCAAGTTTTCTTTAGAAAAAAACATTATTTCCATGATGAAGAACAAATATTCTGTGTTTTAAAAGGAGTTAATACATATTAGATGGGGGAAAATTTTTCAGCCCCATCTATTAGAATTCATATCAGATTTGGCTTTGGGTGCTGTAGGTTGACTCCCTGTGAAGTCCTGTGAGCTTGTCGGAGTTCCAGTGCTCCAGCACTCTACATTTGAATCACTGGAAGACCCATTTTGACCACTTGCACAACTGTGCACAACTCTTCTACTAAGTTTAAATAGCAAATCTGCAACTCCTAAAAATGTTATTTTTAGGAAGAGGATGGAGCTGCAGGAACAACTGCTCCATCCTGCCAGCCCCATGGCATTCCATATTTATCCAGTAATATGTAGAAAGACACATGTTGATACAAACTACTGCAGAGTGCAATCCTCATTTTACCAATTATACGTTCTTTCACTCTGTGTGTGTCACCTGCTTGCTTTCCTGCCTGTTTTCTTCCATAAACTGTGCATCAGGTATTTTTTTTCTAAGATCCCCCCCAGCAAATTATACTGTAAATTTCACAACCCCTTTTCAAACCTTGCATTGTCCTCAATAGATACACGCCCTTATCACAAAGCAGGAAAATAACCAGAGACCCAGACAGCCACTGGAAACAAAAGGGAGATTGCATGCTGGTGCATGCTGCTACATTTATTTGTGGTAGATATGCTGAGGAAGCAAGTGGGCTTTTTTTGTTTGTTTTGTTTTGTTTCTCTGCACAATTTTGCAGCTGCAAATACAAACAGCACAACTCAATACAAACACAGCTCCAGAGTGTGTTCAGCTATTGTGAGCTACTGGTTATCAAATGATCAGAACATGTGTTAACTGCATGCATTTTAGTCTATTTTTGCTGTTCAGTAAAATATAACAGACAAAGTAAATATTCTAAGGACTAGCAGAATACATTAATGTCAAGTAATGCATTTTCATTTAAATGTAAATATATATTTATATACATTTTGTATCTCTCTTTTCAGATATGCATCTATATATTACTCAGTTACTAAGATTGTCTGAGCCAAACTACTGTATAGACAGTACTGAGAATCCTCCGAAGTGACTCAGTAACTGCATGATTGCATAATATGGCTTTCTACATCTGAAGCCGTGTCAGTCTAGTAATAATGGATCTGAATCACCTTTACAGCTCAAACTTACACACAAGGCTATATAAGGCTCAGCAAGGTCTGACATATGCTCCCTTTACAGTCTCGGGAGAATAAGGGGAATATATATGGATATACCAGCCTGTTTTGTGGAGTAAAAAGGCTTTTCATATTCTGTCTTTGACTCACATACCTTCTTTATCTGTTGGGAATTCACTGCATAATGCCATCCAAGCTGTAGGTCCACTGTTCTCATTAAAAAATTGCCTTGTAAATAGATGTTAAACATTAACTAGTTTATAATAATAGATTTAGTTGTGTTAATTGTTTGTGAACATCGGGATTTTAATATAACGGATTGTAGATAATAAAATATGACTATACAGTTGACTACATAACTTTTTCTACCTTTAATAGATGGTATGACAAGGCTTTACAAGAAATGATTTCAGTCAGCTGAGCTCAGAGGACTTCGTTGTCGGCTTCTGTGCGTCTTTTTTTGTCATCCCTCTGTGTTCTGTGGGGATTTCATTACTAGCGCTCCCTAAGTTCATTCAAAAACCCTCAAAGTCTCGACTGATCTCATTGTGCATAAAAGTTTTTTTTTCATGAACACTACTCTTTATTCCGTTTCATCCCATTTATTTTCTTAACTCCGTCCCTCCCTTCAACTCTTCTCAAGTTTACCCTCACAAACTAATTACCTCCCTGTCATGCTAATCTTCAGTTGCTCTGTCTCCCCTCACAACCCCTCAGGTGACATCAAGCCGTGCAGCCCAGCAGCAACAATCACAAACTGGGCCGGGGTCAGGTAAGCCTGATCACATCTCCAATTTCTTTGCATGTAATAATATGACAAGGCCTGACATACAGTTGATATGTCAAATGACATATGGAGACATTGACCAAGAACCAAGAAACCAAAAATATGATACTAAGAGGATATTTTTAGAATGTGCAGTATGAATAGCTTTATTATATTATTAGTGCATCCTTGATCTGGGGTCAGAGTTATGGGTTATTTATATGCAATCCTCACTTAGTCTTTTTTTTTTAATTGTTAAAATTGATCACTCACTGATAATGATACCCAGTGTGCTCATATCCAGGCAAATGTCTGTGAATGTGTCCAATCTAAAATTCTAAGCATTATACAGTATATATGCAAACAGCTTTTTTAAGTAAAGTGTCACTGATGCACTTAAAATAAAATCTAAATTTTGACCTTTGTGCCAGTGTTTTGCTATTATAAATTTTTTTTGGCATATTACCAAGTTATCAGCCACAGAAAATCTCCAGCTTTTTAAAACCCACTTTAAATCTATTTCACATCATTATTATCAGGCTGATCACATTTCTCTGTCATTCTGTAACATTTACATGTTCATTAAAGTGTTTTCCCTCCACTTTTTTCCAAGGTATCTACTACTCCAGTGCCACCTTACCTGCCCAGGGTTCCCCTCTGTCAGGAGGGGGAGGCTCAGGGTCCGGTTCCCCCAGTAAACTTCAACGTCTGGGATCAGCCTCTGATGCACAAGGATACGCTACCACTCAGCGTCTGCCTTCCTCTTCTTCCTCCTCTCCCAAACAGTCTCCTGCTAATCGATTGGCCAAATCATACAGGTAGAGAGCATATACGGCTGCTAATACTGACACACAGTCCGTATTAGAATAATGAAAAGGCTTGAGAAATAGCTTGAGAATAAGCTAAACACATGATGATGGTTTGCAATAGAATAAAAAAACAGAAAAGAATAAAAAAGTTAAACTTAAGTCTTGCAAGTTGATTGTCAGCTTCTTTATGCCAGCATATAAAAACATATCCTGTACATGACACATGACAAATGATTGTTCTTAAACATGAAGAGCAATCAGTTGTTTGAATATATATATATATAT